ACTTTCATTACTTTCACGAATATTTATTTATCCACTGAGTAAATGTTCCACTTTTTTCTCCATTTCTCTGTTGGTAGACATAAAGGTCATTCTTTTTAAGGTTTCTGTTTTTAAAACCAAAGCCACAATAAATTTTATGTATCTCCTTATTACATATCGAGAGCTTCTCTCAGAGTGGAATTGTTGGTTTGTGAGGGGTGACCACTTTCTACTTACTAGATGGTGCCAACTTGCTCTCCCTATGGATAGAGTAACATGTCCTGGCATCAGCCAGGCATGAATGTTACCATTTTCTGTTTTTTTTTTTTTCTTTTCAGAATTTTAAATTTTCTCCCATTTAATGGGTTATAGTTTTTGTTGACATATTCCTGATTATGCATAAGTTTGAGTATATCTCATATGCTTATTGGCTATTTGGGGTTCTTTCGTAAATTTTTTGTTCATATCCTTTTCCTTCCCTTCTCCTCATTATTTTCACTTTTCTTTTTTTTTTTTAAGTTTTTTTTTTTTAAGATTTTTTATTTATTTATTTGACAGAGAGAGAGATCACAAGTAGATAGGGAGGCAGGCAGAGAGAGGAGGAAACAGGCTCTCTGCAGAGAGCCTGATGTGGGGCTCGATCCCAGGACCCTGGGATCATGACCTGAGCCGAAGGCAGAGGCTTTAACCCACTGAACCACCCAGGCGCCCCTATTTTCACTTTTCTTAATGATATATAGGGTGTTTGTTTGTTTTTTGAATTCTGGTTACTGATTCTTTAATGCAAATATCTTCTTGTGCTTTGTGGCTTGTCTTTAATTTTTTTAATGATGCTTTTGGTTGTATACATATTATATTTTAATATATTTTTTTCAATCTTTTCAAGGATGAATCAATACAAATAATTTTTAGGTATGTGTGCTCGAGGGGGAAGGTATCAAAGGAAATTCTTGCCAACTGACATTTCTTTTCTCTGTAGAAGTCAACTTTGAAGAGAAAACTGTGGAGTCCCTGAGGTTCCCCCTGCAGCTGACATGGATAAATTGAGTCCACAGCAAATGCCCAGATCTAGGAGTTGGCTGGGGCAGGGTGGTAGGGGATGAGACAGGATTTCTTACATAGAACCTTGCTTTACTAGAGCTTATCATCAGAGGACTAATACAGGTTAAACTGTGTTACCCTGATATACTTCCTTAGAAACTCAGAGGAAGGAGAGATGAAGGCAGGATCGAGTTAATTATATAAGGACTGGATTACTCAGGGAAGACCATATGTCAACTTTCTTGACCTGCTAACAACCTAAGAATCACAAATGAAACATAGATAAGGAAATGGGGGCTGACCGAAGTTAAGGTCTCCCAGCTACTGAGAGGCAGAAAGCATATGAGAACGATAGCTCCCAGATCCAGGGTGCTCCACCTGCCAGGCAAAGCATGTTGACACGGCCTCTTATGATCATAAAATAGAAGTGTGAGAGTGAAGCAAAGGAAAAGCCAAGTCAGACAAAATAGAATTCAACTGCAACCAAAGAGGCCCAAGACCATTTAATCTGCGTTCACAAACTGTTAGATGCAGTTATTATATTCACATCTACTTGTTTGTCTTATGAGGCTACAGGTAGATACGTTGTTATCCTCATCTTTTTTTCAGTTGGGACAGAAAAAGGTAAAGTGAGTTGACCCAGAACACTTTATAAGTTATAGCAAAAGAGAGTCAATAAACATGGGCTCCGTGGTCAATACTTTTCTCTTCATGAACCACAAGATAAATGGCCATTTTGTCTACAAATTATAATTTGCACAATTACTATAATTTCTATAATTTTTAGAAATTTATAATTTAGAAATTTATAATTTCTAAATTATAAATAAATGTATAAATTCTACAAATTACTACAAAGTCACTTTCTTGTTTCAGATACCTTAGTTTTATTCTTCCATTGACTGTCAGGTTAACTGGTTCTAATTCCCTTTGCTTGTGGAGAAAGCATCAACTTAGGCAGCTAATGAGTAACACGGAAAAAAAAAAAAACCAGAGCCACATTGTTCATAATCAAGCTACTGTAGTCCTGTTTTCCCTATCTATATCCTCATCAGCAAACACGAATGTAGAAATCACCTCCAACTGCCTGCGGAGACACATCATTAATTAGGATCAATCAAAAGTTCTCTCCAGGGGCGCCTGGGTGGCTCAGTGGGTTAAAGCCTCTGCCTTCGGCTCAGGTCATGATCCCAGTGTCCTGGGATCGAGCCCCACATCGGGCTCTCTGCTCCGCGGGGAGCCTGCTTCCTCCTCTCTCTCTCTGCCTGCCTCTCTCTGCCTACTTGTGATCTCTGTCAAATGAATAAATAAAATCTTTAAAAAAAAAAAAAAAAGTTCTCTCCAGCCAGAAAATGCTTCAAAACTTTAACTCCTTTTATGTTATTATAGTAATAGCCTTATGAAGAAACTAGCATCTTCTGCCTGTGTCAGAGAAATATCATAGCACTAATCACAAGAAATCCTTAAAATATTCTCCAAAGTAAAACAAATGCCCACTGCTATTGAATGTTGGCTTCCTCCATGTTCTCAAGATGGAATTCTACTCGTGCCAGGCACACCTGGCCCCTTGGGTAGGATGCCTTCAGGAGCTCTGTGCTAAACCACTAGTCTAGATGTAAAAATACTAAGGGAGCAGAAGAAGGAGGCAAGGATTTACCTGCTAGTGAAGCTGGTAAACAATCACCAATGCCCTTTCAAAACTAAGTCTTTAAAGGCATTCTCCTGGACAGGGAAGTGAGGAAAGGCTTGTGATGTGGACCAGAGCCTAGCAGCAAAGCAGTAAGGCATGAAAGGGCAGGGCAGGTTTGTAGTGGGTACCACTGTGTGGTCAGTGTCCAGGATAGAAGCAGACTGTGACCATATCACCAATGGCCTTGTAGGGTGAGCTAACAAGTTGGGATTTCTCAGGTAGGTGTGGGCACACTCAGACTGGTATTTCCAGAAGACCAATCTGGCAGCCAAGTGTGGGAGATGAATCTTAGGGAAGGAGCCCCATTCTTATGCTATTGCATCAGGCTAGGAGAGACAATGATGGCAGCTTGGTCTGCAGCACTAGAGTGGAGATGACGAGATACATCCAAAACACATCTAGGGGGAAGAATTAGTCAAATGACTACAAGGGGGAGAAAGTAGTTCTTTTAGCTGAAATTAGAAAGAAAATTAGTAAGATTACCAGTGTCAGAGAATACAGAAGAGGAAGTCAGGCCAAAAATGAAAAATTTAAAAATTTTTAAAACTTCTTTATAACAGTCAATCATTTTCCACCTAGGAAGAGTCTGTTTTCAGGTAAACAAAAATTATTTTTTTTATAAAATTTACCGTAATGGTTTTTCTGTTTATAAAATTCATGCTTAATGGCTTTTGATGTGCTAGAGTAAATAATCACCAATTGTGCCCCCCAAAATTTGGGAAATTCTTCAACAGAAGAAATGCCTAATCTGTGTATCTGAGATGCTTATGCATGAGCAAGCTCTCCTACAGCATAATATATATATGATAGCATCTATACATCAGTGGCTCTCTATACACACACACATACACACACAATCAGAAATCGATTTAAAACAACATGATATCATCTGCAGGAAGTGCCAAAGCATTTTTTCCATTAGCTTTTAATGTGAGGAAAACAAAATGAGAAGGTGACATTGTCTCATGGTTTCTTTCCTTTTTTTTTTTTTAAGGAAAAACTAACCCTTATTTATTTCTTTAAACTGAGCCACTAGAAAGTATATCACAGCCTTGAAACACCAAGCATAGACTATATTTATATTATCACTTCAGAGGATAAGTTGGTAAAAACAACAAGGTCTTAATCAAAATGATAAGGTGCTGGAGCTGGGGCAGGAACGCTGCTTGCTGCAAAGGCCCTTGGCAAAGTGGTATTTGGTAATGGTGGGGAGGATGTCCCTCTTTCGCTTTAAAGGAATCATGGCTCATGGGAGTTGCTTGTTCTTCCCCCTTTGACCTTCCTATTGTGAAGGGATTGTCTTGATAGGGCTCTGTTATTTCAGGGGGCTAAATAATACTGAGTTCAGGCTTTCATTCCATTCTGTTCTATAAAAACCAGGTTCTTCTAAATCTGGTACTTAGTAACTCTCTTAATTAAGAAGAAATGCCCCCTTCAATGTTCATTTCCTGGATACTGGTATACAGTGCAATCAAAACCCCTTTCCCTTCAAGGGAGAGTGTTAACTACTGCAAGATTTTTGTCCTGTGGCTCTGCTGCAGACAGCCCTGGGGCCCATCACAGCAGCCAGTGAGAGGAAGGGCTGCTTGCCATACCCAGTGTAACGTCACCTCTCATGTTTTTGCAGGGTCTTCTAGCTGAAAAATGCAATGTGTATTTCAAGAAATACATATACATATCTTGACGGCATTAAACATATACCTACGAGGAACTGTTCAAAGTTCTTACCAAAACTACCTCTCCCAACTCCACACCTTGAATCAACTTCATCCCCTCGTATAATAACAAACCCAAGCAAAACAAAGAGCTAGAAACCTTTTTTTTCCTTCTAAATTAGTGACCTCATAGATTTTGTTTTACAGCTTACAGAAAATGATTTGGTGATCCTTCTGGTAAACAGGAGGTTGGCAACAAACAGAAACACCTCTGTTCACACACCACCAGATCATAGGCAGTTTAGGGGAAGCTGTCAGCCTGTTCATACCTGTGTACAGAGAAGAATCTGGTACCTTGAAGGTCTCTGGCTTCTAGGCCAGATCCCTGGCCTAGGAGATCCCTAGTGCCAGGACCAGCATGTGAAATTTAAGCTACTAAAAACTGTTCTGTACTATCTTTGACCCAAATTTCAGCACCAGTTTTTTCCCATTTCACTTTCTAGGGTTCAAACAAAGGAGCCAGTGTCCAGAAAGAAGTGACACATGCCTCAAACTTGATACCACCCTTAATTTCTTCATGGACATCAGCTGAAAGGCCCAAACTCCCAATTCTCTTTTTAAATATATTCCTGCTGTCAACCCTGATGGCCAATTGCAAAGACTTCTATTTCCCAATGGATAAGAGACTTCTTCATCTTCTTGGTCACGGTCGGGATGGGTGCATATGGTCATCCCCACACAAGTCTCCAGCTGCCACTTCACCTGAAGCTCTTTACTTCCTGCATCTATTGAATCTTTGGCTTTGTCATCGCAATGCATGGTGCACTGGGCCAGGTGGTCCTGGGACTTCTCCAGCTGGGCCTGGGCCAGAGGTGCACAGCAGCGCTCACTGCACTGGTGTACCCGGCTGCATGGATGCCTGGCTGTCCTCACAGCACTGGCACTGCACCGGAACAGAAGGCCCCGCATCATCCAAATGTTCTCTCTCTCCAGACTCTTCACCATGGAGTCTTCTGCCTCCCGCACCCAGAGCTGCTGCAGCTCTCTCACGGGGACCCCACATGACACCCCCTTTGCACCAGTGCCCTCATGGACTCCAGCACTCAGGCCCCCCTGTTTCACAGTTTCTAATTCAGGTAGCTTCTACAAGAGAGGCATCAGAGATGCCTAAACATAGGGGTGATACAGAGAAAGTACACCTTCTTCCCTATGGTGGTGCACTGCCCATTCAGGACTCAGGAGCTCATTCACCCGGAACTAGGGCATGTTGATGGCTGACAGTTTTCAGCTGAAATATTTTCTGCCCCCTTCACAGGGGCAGCCCACATCTGTTGGCTGATCATTTGTGGTTGGGTGGGTATAAAGGCCAGGCCCCCTTCACTTAAGGGGTAGAGGGTCTTTAAAGGGCCGTTCAGCTCCAGAGCTCCTGTAGGAGGCAGCTGCTTTTCCCTCTGCCCAGCCCCGCTCCTGTCACTCTCACAGGTGATGTTCCCAAGGGCACTACCCAATCAACTTCTTCATGGAAATCTGAGTCCTTTTCCCAGGAACCCCAACCTATGGCACCTACCAGGACCACACAAAGCCTTCCATGAGCACTAATTACACAGAATGAAGAGTGTCACTATAAAAGCACATATTAAATGTACTGGGTCTTGTACAAAATGAGCCATGCTCCCTACCTATATTTTAGCTTATGTTCTAAAACCAACAACACAGAGATGCTGTAAACACACAAGTGATCTAAAGGACTTTGGATATGAAGTTATTTTACTGAAAGAATCCTAGCAAGAACAAATGAAAACATACACATTAAAACCAACAGCAGGTGACTGGCAGTTCACCTGTTAGATACTATAAACCATCATTTTTTCCCTCTGGTTGTTGGTTTTCCCTATTTCCTCTCCTGAAAAGCTGCTTGACTATGTTACTTCCCTAAGGCTCAAACACTGGAGGAGGTGAGTTGCCCGCACCTGCCTCCCCGACTCCTGCGCATGCGGTAATCAGATCAATGCCTGTGTCCCCACTGCCACCTAACGGGTTCTTTGAGCATTGAAGCCTCCTTGGAATAGTACTTTTTTTTTTTTTTCAACTGCTGACATTATGTCAATAAAATGGCTAAATGTAACCATATCAAGCTATGGGCCACTAGTTTTCATGGGGCAAATTCTGGGGCTTATTTTGACTTCTGGAAAGAAGTTGTGTTAACTGTCTCCTTTTTCCTATTTACATCTGGGTTCCTAGACCTGAGCCACACAGGTTGTTTGATGTAAGTATCCTCAAAAAAAGGGTGGGGGCTCCTGGGTGGCTCAGTTGGTTAAGTGTCTGCCTTCAGGTCATGATCTCAGGGTCCCGGGACTGGGCCCCATGTGGGGCTCCCTGCATAGCAGGGAGTCTGCTTCTCCCTCTCCCCAGCTCCCCTCTGCCGCCATGCTCATGCATGCTCTGTCTCTCTCTCTCAAAAGGGAAAAAAAAAAGATTGTTCTATTACCCACTGTGTATTGAAGGTGATATAGAATGTTCCAGGCTGTTTCTTCAATAACTAAACTTTTTCTAAGATAAACAATCAATGTGAACAGGGGGGGTGGGAACCAGATAAAGATGGTATTTTCAGGGACTGTGATGCAAATGAATCCAATTAACTCTGAGTTTAAGACCATCTTAAGACTACCACTAGAGGCTGTTATATGAGAAAGCCAAAGAGGGCCAAAAAAATGAAAAAAGCTCCTGTCACGACATCAGAGGACAAGGCCCATTGGACCTCTCCTGCATGCGGGGAAGTCAAAGTAATTCATTCTCATGCCTTCCTTCCTGGCCTTCAAAGAGCTCCTGTGACTGCTTTGGCCTCCACTGCCCACACCTTCCTGCTAGACCTCGACCCATCCGGCTTTCTACAGCCTTTTGTTTCTGACAATCACATATGCTTCTGTGATCTCTCATATTACCTCTGAGCTGTTCCTAGAGACCCTCTCAATGATCTACCCACTGCTCTCCCCCACCATTTCTCTCTCACACACACACACACACACGCTACCACCTAAAACCATTCTAGCTAGTTTCTGAATACTTTTCTCCATCTTTTTATTTTGAAAAATTTGAACCATACAGAAAAGTTGAAAGATTAGTAGAATGAACACATATATCTTCTACGATGACCATTAACATCTTGCCACATTTTAATTCCTTCTCTTCATACACACACACACACTTATGTAAGTATACATGTATGTATCTACACACATACACATAAACACGTACACATACACATTTATACACACACACAGCAGTCCCTTCTTATCTGCAGTTTCGCTTTCCATGGTCTCAATTACCCGCAGTCAACTGCAGTCAACAAGCACGAGATCCTCTCCTGAGGTATAGTCAGAAGGTCAAGAGAAGCCTGACACTATGTCACAATGCCATGTCATTCACCTCACTGCATCTCATCGCACAGGTATTTTATCATCTCACGTCCTCGCAAGAGGGGGTGAGTGCAGTACAAGAAGATATTTTGAGAGACGACAGGTAACTTTTATTATTGCGTATTGTTTGTTTTTTAAAGACTTTATTTGAGAGAGAGAACATGCATGCAGGTGCCAATGGATAGAGCAGAGGGAGAGAGGGAGGGAGAGGAGTAGGGAGAGGAGAGAGAAAGAATCTCAAGCAGACTCCATGCTGAGCTGAGCATGGAGCCCAATATGGTGCTCCATCTCATGACCTTGATAGCATGACCTGAGCCAAAACCAAGAGTCAGATGCATACCCAACTGATCCACACAGGTGCCCCTATTATGGTATATTGTTATAGTTGTTCTATTTTATTATTTATTACTTTTACTCTCTTACTGTGCCTAATTTATAAATTAAACTTTTGTCATAGTATGTCATAAATAGGAAAAAATTGTATATATAGGGTTTGGTACTATTTGCAGTTTCAGGCATCCACTGGGGGTCTTGGAACATATGCTCCCCCCACAACGTAGATGAGGAGAGACTACTGTGTGTGTATATACACAGAAGGCCATCTAGAGATATATATATATATATATATATATATATACACATATGTTCATACTCACACCCATATGAATTTTATGACATTTCACACAATTTTTTTGGCTGAACCATTTAAAGATAAATTACAGATATATGCTACTTTATCCCTAAATACCTGAGCAGGTCATTCTTCTAAGCAACTTAAGTAAATTTCACATTCAATAAAGTTAACAATAATACAATACCATCTAATACCCAGTCCATATTCAAATTTTCTAAAGTATCCTCAAAATTTCTTTTATAGCTTTTTCAAACTAAGACCCAATCAAGATTTACCCATTGCATTTATTGTTATGTCTTTTGGTCTTTTGTCTCTTGATCTAGAAGTACCCCACTGTGTGTGTGTGTGTGTGTGTGTGTGTGTGTAAGCATGTGTGGTGGGAAGGGGCAGAGGGAGAGGGAGAATCTTAAGAAGCCTTCCAGCTAGCGTACAGCCTGACACAGGACTCCATCTCACAACCTCAGATCATGACTGAGCCAAAATCAATAGTCAGAAGCTTAATCAACCAAGCCACCCAAGAGTCCTTCCCCCACTCTTTGACGACACTGACCTTTTGAAGAATTTAGGCATTTTCTTATAGAATGTTTCATATTCTGGATCAGAATCTTCCCTCAGGGTCATTTTCTCTGTTCCTCTATCTCTAGTTCCTATAGACAGAAATTTGGATCAAAAGGCTTGATAATATTTAGGTTAAGCATTTTGGGCAGAGTTCTTTCATTGGGGATGATGTTGCATCAAATCAAAAGGCCTACAAATCAGGTTGTTCACTATTAGCGGTGCTAAGTGTGATCACTAGGTTAATTACTTTATAATTAAGTAATCTGTGGGGTGATACCGTGACACTGCAAACATCCCCTTTTCCCTACTTCCTTTTAAAGACAGGTTCTAGCGTCTATTGATAATCTTTGCCTCAATTATTAGGGACTACACAGATATTTCTAATTGTATTATTCCATCTGTAGGTACTGGCTGGCATTCCCCTACAAAGAAAAAAAAAACAACCTTTCCCTCACCCTTGAATCTGAGTATCACTCTAGACTTAGGAACTTTATTTTTTTTTTAAGATTTTATTTATTTATTTGACAGAGAGAGATCACAAGTAGGCAGAAAGGCAGGCAGAGAGAGTGAGAGGGAAGCAGGCTCCCCGCTGAGCAGAGAGCCCAACGCAGGACTTGATCCCAGGACCCTGAGATCATGGTCTGAGCAGAAGGCAGCGGCTTAACCTACTGAGCCACCCAGGCGCCCCTAGACTTAGGAACTTTAAAAATGTATTCAATGCTTTGCTCATCTATCATAGTCATTATTCTGTTTAGCCCAGCTTGACTCACATTTGGCCAGAGGAGTCAAACTTGATTCTGTGACCCTTCACTTAATCTTATAGTTTTGGGGTACTTCCTTGCTTTCTGGCAAGGTAATCTAGGCTCACCTTTGTACTTTTGTATTTTCTGGGCCTCAGACCTGAAAACCACCATTTCTCCAAGAAATGCGGTTTCTTTTGTGGAGAAAGGGATCTAGATATCAAGATATGGGGACCCTCCATTGGGAGAAATTATATATATTCTTCTAAGAAATATACACAAATAAACTCTAATTCAAATTTAACATCAGAGGCCTTCCCCCTAAACCTTCTTTTATTTTATATTTTTCATTTCTTTTCTCCTAGATTTCTAACATGTATTATTCACTTTATAGTAGACCTAAAAAGTTTCAAAGTTGCATTGCCAATAGTACTATTAGAATAAATCTGTGACATCTGAGATTTTTTGTTGTTGTTGTTCTTTTTGCCCTCAGAGTATATCCCACTAAGAATACACATAAGACTATTATTAAACACCATTTCCAAATATGTCTAAAGAACTTTGAATGACTGCCATTTCTGATCCCTGTAAAGCCTTAGGTTATAATCTTTTTCAAACTAAAGGAATCCTGCTTTCTCTTTTTGGTGGTATGTTTTCAGTTCTTTAGTGGTACATGTAAAACACAGGAATAGCTGAAAAAGCACATCCTGAGACAAGCAAGGCGGTGCAAATAAAAGTGGACAAGCCAGACTGCTATGACTGATGAGCACCTGCTCTGGACAGCATCCATTTACGGGTGTTTTTCTGTCACCTTTAAATGAATGATGACACCCAAGAATCACCTCAGGGTATATTTTCAATCCACTGTGTGCAAAAACAATAAGTACAAAAAGCCAGTAGCTTGCCCTGCGGCAACTCTCCATGCAAACATTCAAAACACCTATTATGACTAAAGAGGGCAAAGGTACAAGCAGTTATTATGATGATATACACATCTCTAATTCATCATCTTAGGCATTTGTCAAGATTGCAAAAAAATGTGGGCAAATCTGGTTCTACTTTTAGTCAGGAGGGAAGGCAATAAAAGCTAAACTAAATAAAGAATGTAATCTCTTGGAGCTCCTGGGTGGCTTCATCATTTGAGCGACTGGCTCTTGATTTTGGCTCAAGTCATGGTCTCACGGTGTTGGGATCAAGCCCTGAGTCAGGTCCCACACTCAGTGGAGTCAGCTTGTCCCTCTCCCTCTGCTCTTCCCTCCCTGCCCCACCTCTACACGCATTCTCACTCTCTCTTAAATAAATAAATCTTAAAAAAAATAGAA